TTTAAAGAACGATCGTTAAATGGAAATTGTACATCTACTTTATGCAGAATTTATGGTGATTTATGCTAATGATCGTAAAAGGCAGGTTTAAAGCAACAACCATTCATGCAGATAATGACCTGAGTAATTCAAGCCCGATGCAGAAACGCATGATCGCACGGGCCAGCCCGGTGCGTTCCAGCCTGGGTTTTTTTTCGTTTGCGTACCAGTACTAGAGACATGCCTATTTTTCCGAAAATACTTCACGCGGTGAATTCAATACTTTCCAAATGATTCTAGCGCTTTTTTCACTAAATTTTGCCCGATTCTACTTCAATTTCTCATCGCCGTAATCGAATACTGTTTTTTTGACGTAATTTTTAAGCATTTTTGTTTCTCTCTTGACTGTTGCTTTTCATAACACTCATAAAATGCCCTGTTTCCTTGCCTTCTTTTTGGTTTGTTAGATTCAGTTTCTGCATACACCAATAATTAATTATTATCTAATACAATGAAAAGTTCTTGCTTCGCCAGTTTCGGTACTTACAAGTGCCAATAATTAATTATTTAATATAATTTAAAGTTAAGCAATTTCCAGGAAGCATCATTGCAAGCAAACTATCTCAAAGCTCTGAACCTCATTATCGATGGTCACAATCATGAAGCACTGACTACCATGGAAGATCTTCTAACGCACCCAATTCTTCAAAAATTTAAGGTTATTTCAGGAAAATCTTTGATTACTTTCACTTAACCGATCATTTTCAATAAAAAAACCTAGTTCAGCACTTATTTCTCACAGTTTTGCTTTTTATTGGAGGCTAAAATCTTTAGAGTCATTGGCCAAAAATTTAAGGTTATTTCAAGAAAATCTTTGATTACTTACACATAACCGGCCATTTTCTATAAAAAAGCTAGTTCAGCATTTATTTCTCACTGTTTTGCTTTTTATTGGAGGCTAAAATCTTTAGAGTTATTGGCCAAAAATTTAAGGTTATTTCAGGAAAAATTTTTGATTACTTATGCATAATCGGTAATTTTTTATAAAAAAAGCTAGTTCAGCATTTACTTCTCACAGTTTTGCTTTTATTGGAGGATAAAATTATTAGAATTAGTAGCTTAAGGATTTTTGCAGTTGTCTTGGACGTGGAAATTTTAAATTTTTTGCTTTTTCCGTCCTTCTGTGCTTATTCTTTTTATCCTTTCAAACGTGTTTATGCTTTTACATTATTCTGCTTGCCACTGCTTCCCACCTGCCCGTTCTTTTTCTTATCTTTTATTATTTTTAGTAGTCTTTTATCTATTTCGATATTTTTACCACCTGTTGTTTCATTGTCGCGTTTTTCTTTCCATTACTGCAGTTGGTAGTTTCTCCATCCTTCTCTATTTTGTGCTTCTCTCATCTACATAATTCCATATAAAGATGTTCAAAGGACTGTTCCTACCAAATTGGCGGTTTCCTCTTTGTTCTTTTAGCGTCACATACGTTCCGCCCATTAATTTGCTTTGTCAATCTATAATTTCTCTCCTTTCTGCCTTTGTAATAAACTCAGCTCTTCTCCATGGCGTACAACATCGATATGCTGTATCATTTGTGTACATATGTATATCTATCGTACTGTATGCCTACTTATTATGCGTTTTTTGCAGCAATGCAATGCGGAAAACACATATTGATGAGAGGTTGTCTGTGTTTGTCTGTGTGCGTGTCTGCGCGTGTATGTCTATGTGTGCGCTGCACGTCTGCACCGATTTTTTATCTCGAGACCCACAAAAGCTACAGGGCTGAAACTTTGGGGAATTAATCTGCATGCACGTACGGGCCCCCATCCCCAAAATGGGCCGTCTTGCCCGCGTTGTACCCTCGTGAGAGCCCGCCAAAGTTTTTTATGGGTATGCCACTAACTCATGAACCAGAAAAGCTAGAAAGCTGAAATTTTAAGGGGGTGTTTCATTCCAGTTCTGGCAGCCAATCTTAATTTGTTTAGCTTGAAGCATTTGCCGAAAAAACCGATGCGGATAGCGGCAAAAATTGCTGGGAACTCTGCAAAAAACGCATCTTCGCACCTCGGACTGCCCGTGCGTTAGCCAATTATTTTTTTTAGCATTACATGCGTTCCGTCCATTAATTTGCTTTGTCAATCTATCAGTTCCCTCCTTTCTGCCTTTGTAATAAACTCAGCTCTTCCCCGGTGGCACACAACATCGATATGCTATATCACTTGTGTACACATGTATATCTATTGTACTGTATGCCTACTTATTTTATGATCGGTTTATATTCATTTATCATTTGGTATGGTCGCATATACGTGAGAATTGATACTTAAAATACGTAAGAATCTTAAAATACATGAGAATTGGTGAAAATTGGTAGGTATTTTAAGATACCTAAGAGTTGAACACATGATTTATTGGCTTAGAATTGCTGTTAAATAGGCTTGTGTAGTTGAAATAGCACTTAGAACTGTGTAAATTCGTGATTTGATCAGTTTTTTTTTCCAGGTCGACGTTAATTCATTTAATTGGAATGAAGCAAAGGAGAAAGCCCGCGAAAATCCCCGAGTATCGGCAATGGCTCGCCTCTTCTCATCGCTTCATTTCAACATTGCAAGGCTCGTGGGCGATCCAATCGAACATCTATTAAATGTAGGTACTTCTTTTTGCTTTAGTCACTTCCGAGCTTCAGGATTCATCTCAAAATAGCCCGAACAGTAGCATTTTTCCCCAGCAACTGAGCCACAGTACTGCTGCTGCTGAAAGTTCTCTCACCTGTTCGTTAACTACCCCTCATTTGGTGCTGTAGAAATATGTGGTTTTTTTAAGTACACTTCTAAATTGTTCAATCTTGCCATTTTTTAGATGAATATGTGTGATTTTTTAAGTCTGCTTCTAAATTATTTATAAATTTTT